CCGAAATGCGAACGATAAGCTTGGCACGAATCCTACACTAGCTCAACGCCCTGTAAGAAGGGCGTATTACGTCCCATAGGGCTGGCCATGGGTCCCTCAGCTGTGATGACTATTGCAATACCAGTTTAGGTAAACCAGACGTTCGCGCACGTGTAGATAGATTAGTTTACTACTTGTGTTCCGGTATCAGGTGCTTAAGGGATCATTAGTCACCATTGTGGCAAGAGCGGAAACAGTTATGAGAACTAGTGTCTTCCATTTTCTTTTCTCCATAGCTAACATGAAGTCACATGTACGGAAATGGGAAAGCTCGTCTCGATATCTCACGTCATTAGCCTAACTACTACTTAGTTAGTTAGGGCTTCAACCCACCATCAGTCATATGTCTATCGGGCTCGGTATTGAACTTTCCATCGCCTTCGGTGTTGCGAAATTATCCGGTTGTCCCGATAACTACGGATCGGCATTGCTTTAAACCCATGACCTTGACACTAACTAACTAGCTATAGCTTTCTTGTTATAGTGAGTTAGAGTACAGACACGCGGATAGTAGGTCAGAAAGATGTAGCTGCCCAAGCTAAACTTGCTCGCTAATCGTCTTACTCTTCCAATGTGTGTTCTTACAAACTATAGCAGTGGAATCGTCTAGATGGAAATAAGCCTCACCGCCGAAGAGAAGGACGATAGAAAGGTAAGAAGAAACCGGGCCCGGCTAATTCCGCGTGAGATCACTATCGTATCTTCCTAGCATCAGCGTAGGAACAGCGGCTACTTGTCTGATAAGCGTACTAAAGCAAAATTTTCTTCTTATGAGAAAAAAATTAACATAATACTACGTATTCTACTAATAAAGTGATACGATGTATCGAGATTACATAAGGCATGCAAAGTGCACGGCAAGTAATCCCGGCGCCGTTTAACTTAGCTACCCTGGACTGCATATGCGAGAGGAAGCCAGGTATGATGTATGTACGATATAGGGCTGACGAATAAGAGGTACATACATAAAGCATCATAGTATGTACATATTCACATATCTAGGCAGAAGCAAACGGTTCGTTCGGTAAGATTACATGCGACGGCTCAGCCACCCATTCTACGTAAATTAATTCCACCTAACCAAATACCAGACACACGAACTCGGAAACCGAAACAGAGATCCTGTGCACGAGTTAGTTACAATCTTCCGTTCCGGCAAGCTGGGGCACATGCGCCCATAGCTGGCGCGGCGGGGGGGTGTGGGCTTGCGTAAGACGCAACGCCGCTTGGGCGAATGCAGATCGTACACTAACTAGAACAGACTTCTTGCACGGGCACGGAGTCTCGGAGCCGATCGGATTCTGGTCTAACTTACTTACTTACTTGTGGCTTACGCAGCCCTAACCTATCGCTTACAGTTGGTGTTAGTCGGTTAATGTGCGAAAGCGTTTGGTGCTGACGGACTAGAAGAAAAAGAACACGAGAATGGTATGGTAAGTCTTCGGATATGGCCGATGAGGATAACGTGTTATTTAGGAGTTCAAGATGAGTATGGCATTACCGTGGAGAAGTTACGATGAAGGAGTGGCGAATTTAGAGGCGGTAGGATGAGTTACAGTCACGGATGGGAAACGAAGTTATGGGGTATTAATGTTCAATTTAGAGGGGTTCATGTATCTTTTGACCAAAGCCATGAATATGAGAGTACCTAGGTATTACCACTGATGCCCGAGCCACCCGAAAACCAAAAACCACCCTGTCCAGACGCCGAATATGCTAAGAGCCGTATGCTGTATGAAAAAAGTGACGATGATGTGGGTATGGTGATGATGATGTAGTGACCGTGACGCCGAAAGGAGAGATATATGTGAAGTCTAAGAAATCCGCCAACTCCATAACCATGCACCAGATGAATTCCACGAAATATGCAAATAGATAAGATGCCAATAAATCAAAACTCCTTAGCCGGTAGCACGAACCGGACCCTCTTCCTAGGCTTTGCAGCCGGTATGTCTATAGGTTGAGTCTTCTTCTCGGAACCGTCATCGAGATTCTCGGTGCTCAGTCCCATCTCGCTCATAGTTTCCTTCTCGGGTTCTTCGTCGATGGACCAGACGTCAGGACTAGGTTCGCGCCAGGAGTGTCGCCGCTGTAGCGGACGGATAGTAGGCCGGCCTCGAATGCTGGCACGTCGAGGCGGCGGGGTGGGCGGGCCAAAACGTTTGGCTAGGCGGCTGGGAGATCCAACATGGAATGAGGATGGTGATAGGAGAGTTTCAGCGCTTCGAGACAGACCATGGTTAGGAGAGCTGTGTCGAGGATGATCAAAGTAGTCCAAGCCGAAAGGTAGTGACTTTTGGGAATTAAACCGTATGTAGTCTTCTTCATCGTCATCCGAGTCGTCGTCTAGGATGGCACAATCTGCCTCCTTCTTGGCCTTGTACCGCCTGAGGCCGTCGAGCGTTGAAGGACTCACGCTTCGGACGATATGGCGGGGACTGTTTGAGTCCTCGATGCCAGCATCAAAGTCGAACTCAAATTCCAAGTCATCATCTCCAGGGGTCGCAGGTGTTAAGAAATATTTGAGAGGATTCTCGGGCCTTGGAGAAATGTCCATGTCCTCATCATCAGTAGAAAGGCCTTCCTTGTCATCATCGAGCGCCGGTGGAAATCGGCTGGGACTTGAAGGCCATAGACCGCTGGATGGCCATGATTGTTGGTGCACTGCATTTAGTGCGTTCGATGGTGAGAGAGGCATGTTGATTTGATTATAGTAGAGTTTGATGTAGTAAGGGTCCTTAATAGCGAAAGGCAGGCTTCCAAGTACTCATCTCATGCTAGGGTGATTTATTTAATTTGTTCACAGGTTAGAGGAAAGGCCACTGTTCCGTCGAATTTGGACCTTTTCAAAGGTGCCGGGCCCAAGCCGGCTCAAAAGGAACAAGGGTAGTGAAGTGAATGTGACTGAAGGAAAGAAGTCGAAGCCTCGAGCCAAAAGTGATCTTTTAGGGTAACACATCAAGAGGAAATACGGCGGCGAAGCCGGATATATATAAATTCCCCCCATGGGCGGCACATAGGCAGAAGGGAATATGTCAGGAAAGTGGCTGGTGCTCCGGGTTAGTCACCTGTCGATCCAGGGAGCTGCCTTGTGGGTTTGTAGGCAAAGATGGTACATCTGTGAAGGTGGTGGTGGTGGTCATCCCGGTCACTCAGCTGTCAAAAAGGGTACGGTGTCTTGGTATCTCGCAAAACCCCACAGACGCGACGGGCGCGCTGGGGAGGGGAACGGTCTATTGCTGCTTATTGCCGTGAATCAATCACAGGGCGCAGGGAATGAAGACTCATATCTTGGACTAAGAGAGAAGCTGAGGACGAAGACATGTTCCCAAAACGGAGCCTTGCATATGAAAGGTGGTGTGCGACCCAGAAGGGAAAACCGGGCGAGGATCAAGGATACGAGCTGCTCCCACTCCCACTCCCACCGAGCACACTCACTCACTCATTCACTTACTCACCCAACTACTCACGAATAATACCAAGTACCAAGGAAAAGAGCAATCTGTCCCCCCACTCTGGTATGCTCTTGTCACTTCGCAGTCTTGTCGACCAGGCATCTGACATGGTTGCACACCCTCTTTCCACTGCCATATCCCGTAGACCCGACGTGATGCACGACTGTATGCGACGCTGTTGAGGCTCGTGAGCTTTCGTACGGTATCATTCGCTGCTGTCTTAGTGAGTCGATCGACATGCATACATGTGGTCAGGGATCGGGATTGTGCATCAACTGCAGCGCGTCCCCGTCCCCGCTGTACCTTGCATAAGTTGGTTGGGTGCTCTCGAGTTGCGCGGAAGCTCATTGCACAACTGCGGTGGCGTGATGCATGCATTTGGATGGGATGGGATTTGGGATTTTCAACAAGATCCGGCTGCTGCGGCTACGAAGTATGACGAAAGTTTGTTGCACTTTACTAGACATACTTGGTAGGTGCTTCCAGTGTGGTATTGCAGCTGCCGTTGGTTGTAACTCTACGTACATATGTTGTATCATATGTATTATTTTGCGCCTACCTGGTAAAGGTATGTATGTACTCATGTCAGATACTTGGTAGGTGTAAGTGAACGTAACCAAGGTATTAGTAAGATAGTGGTAGCTGACGAACTATACTAACCTAACATATATACGCCTACTCGAAGCTAAGACAGCAGAATGACCTTTTAGTCTGATATATAAACAAGAAACGGCCTAGATTACGACGCTAGCAATAATCGGCTTTTGTGAGTCAAATGCGCATGTCGCAGGTGCTATCAAGAATGGCATACAACCCAGACCGAGAAATCTTGGGAGTGGTTGCGCGGACGGTGCCCCGCATCCTTCACTCGCCCCGTCCCAACTCCCGTTATCAATCGTGCAGCATTCCACATTCCACCACCACCCTTTCACCACCTTCGGTGTGACTGGAGAAGGCACTAACGAAATGCAAGCCGGCCGTGCAAGATCTTGTTTGCCTGGGAGGGGTACACACTCGAGGCACTTGATTTGAGTGTTTCGGCAGGCCTCAGGTGACGGAGCTTATCAAGACCCATTGCCCGACTGCAACCCTACAAAGTTCAATAGAGGTTCGACGGTGAACGGTGAATGGCCACTGCTTGCGACTAATGCCCCTCACCGGCAAGATCCGGAAGTTAAATTGGACTAGTTCGACTGGATGCCTTCGTGCCGCCTTGAGAGTTTCGATATATGTGGCAAGTTGCTTGCTTTCCTTGCAGACAGCCAACTCTCCAAGAGGGTTGATGGTGTTGATAACTCACAGATAGTTACTTGGCGCATGGTGTAAGTAGTTCGACCCTCTTTTGCACACACCTCAAGCTAGATAACAAGTTGGCTCGTTCAAGGATGGGGCTTGGTTGATTAGCGGCACCACCACCAAAGGTCCAGTCCAGTCCAGTCCAGGCAAACAGCATCTTTCGTTTTAGCGAGCCAAGCCTCCACACAGGAAGCTCATCTCTTCCTCTTGGGGCTTGTGGTTTAGTGGTATAATACTCCCTTAGCATCTAAATGGCTTCTCGCCACTAGGAATTGGGAGTGGTCCGGGGTTCGATTCCCCGCGAGTCCAATGTCGGTGGTTCAATCCCGCCTATACCCTTGATTTTCTCCGAATTGGTGTAGTGGCCAACATTTGACGCTCTCATAACACACGGGTGCCGTCAAGCCCGGGGTTCGATTCCCCGATTCGGAGTCGTCCTATCTTTTTGGCGTGCCGAGTCCTGGAATATGCAAGATTTTGTTTTCCCCGATGCGTGGAGCAAGTGTGCAGGTGGTGAGAGACATAGGCAGCTTACCTTATCGCTTACCTTATCCACCTGGGTTGGTAGGCTACAGAATGAGTGAATGCATCGGCCCGTTCCCTTGGCTCCCAGCGCCCAGCTTGAAAATGCATACTTTTTCCTTGCATATTGTCTCGTTCAAACAGATTCCCGACAGGAAATTATTGTGTCGATCTCTGGGATGCCTGGCCAGTCGTTGGGATGCCGAAGGTACTATGCATACTGGGCACCAGTGTCATGTCGACTGACCACTCGGTCGCATAGTCTCAAATGCGCAGCTAACCAGTCTCGCGTGTTTCAAGGTTGGGGGGATCTAATCGTGGATCACCCTTCTGTAGATCAACTAATTCGGCTCAACCCGTGTCGGTTCGAATTCTTGGTTTGCTGAGAGCATGCAGCATGCTCGCTCGCACAGCATAGGGCTACCAATCCCAAGACTTGGAGACTCGCGGTTAGCGCGGAGCTCACCAAGCGAAACAAGCCCGATAAATAAGTATCACGTGAAGGGCGCAACCACGTGAAGCAGTAGTAGCTTCCTATGTCCAATCAGCGTATACGTCCCTGAGACAAGAGGAGAGTTGAGAGTTAGACAACTTCGTGACTAGGTAGGTTCGTCAACCCTCCCGCTCCGACTATTCGACAAAGGATCGTCGCGACGGTCACCGTTGCCGCGATCGTCGATCTCACTCACCCGGCACGGTCATACTACCATGATCTTCTGGAGCAATATCTCCTCCCATGAAACGCCTGACTAACTCCGAATCTTCTTATTATAGGAGTGGGTTCGTTCAGATCCGGGTTATTATGCATATTTAAATCTTCTATGACGTCGACAAGCCAAAGATGAATAGTGTTTGGGACCTGCAGCAGTATGTTTTGCACATGGTCGGATCTTGGGTGTGAAGATCCACTCAGCCGGGACCTGGGTTCTGACCTGGGCATCTGGGACCATCAATAAATACCCAATACCAATTCTCGTCAGCCGTACCTCAAGCTTGCAATGGACAAATTGTCAAAAGATGCAATCACTTGATGCATAGCTCCGAGAACAGTATTGAGCTATATTGAGATGAACACGGAGATTCAGTTTCGGACCTGACCGAATGACCATAATCAATGGCAACTTAGTCAATTACCTTCAGTATCGTTGAGTGTTTACTGCGAGATGATTGATCATTCCGCTCAGCAAAAATCCAAGGCTGCTCTGATAGGCCAGGACCCAGTTTCAGACCGCAACTGGACCTTACACCTTGTCTCAGCGTCCGAGTTGGAATACCTGACAGGTCTCCTTGAAATCACAGCCCACAACAATACCGAGGTTCCTAATACCTGTCATCAGCTTTAGGTGGCTTGGTTTGTTTTGTTGCCTTCTTCCGCCTTATGACTATGATGTCGCAGCTACGGACCAAGCTTCATCTTGGCTTGCCGTCGGATGAGACGAAGTGGGAGCAAACCAAAATAACATACTCGACCATGTCTTTCGAACTATACATGGGGAAGGCGGATTCTGGGCATCATGTTCCACTGGCCTAGGTTACCGAGCTGAAGTGCTGTATCAATGATAACCAGACTTCGTTGAATTCCCTAGTAGTATCTTGGGTCTGTTACGACCGTTTTTAATCGGTATGTAGTTTCAATATGCCATGATGATGGTCGAAGAGGTCGAAGAGAAATTGGAGTATAATCTTTCTTAATGCCTATGTTCTGGACTGGACTTGACTACGTACATAGGCATATGGCTAATTTACTATCCATTATGCAAGTTCCTCAACCATATTTGCAAGTGGACTCACTATTGCAGGAAGAGGCCATTTGATGGTCAATGCCTTCATGCTCACGGAACTCTCCGTCCAATCGGAGCTCCATATATGTATCAGACCAGAACATCAACAACACAGTTTGGAGCACCTACCATTCAGACTCTCTGCTTGGTAGACAAGACGCACGCAAGCAAACTGCAGCCGGCTCGATCAAGAGGTATCTCGACTTGCTTGAACGATGGTAAAAACAGCAGGAAACCCGCATATGCCGGCTGGTCGTGGAGCATACCCGGTGCTGTAGCGCAGTCGAGCTCCAAGGATGAAGGCGGGAGAGAGCAACGACCCAGCATTCATCTTGTCCCCTAAACCACCCGAGGCATTGTTAATGCTACGGCCGTTTGCCGCGACTGGGCGCGAGCCTGTCTGTGAAGACATGGACCCATATTCTCCCGAGCGAAGAGACATCAACCACGTCACTCCGCAATTTTAACGGTGATCGGTCATGCCACGATGGGCTTTGCCAAAAAGCACCTAGCACAATACGATCGTGGCATGGTCGGTATCGATATCTTCAAGGTTGGGACGCAATGACGCAGCGAGGTTGCTCCTTGCTTGAAAAAGGCGGTGAGGCTCTCGTGGAAACGACTGGCATCGAAGAACCCAGCCATCGTTCGAAGAACCCAACCATCGTTCTCAACCCATCGTCGGTAATGCCAAGAGACCCCACAAGCGATGTTGGCCATCTTCACGATGTACTATTCCATTCTCACTATCCCTACGATGGAGATGAATATGCTTCTAGCGTCATCTTGGAAAGCCTTATAATTCCTTAGCTTGTTATTCCCACGTGCACAGGGGTGTTCTATGTCAGCCATCATGCTTCATCCCATGCTTCACCGTCAGCGGGGAAGATGATGTAGTTCACGATGCCATTTGGAGTCGTAATCAAGGGTGGTCAAACTTGTATAGCATAGCATATGTACAAAGCTTTACCAATCTGGGAGTTAAGTATCTTAACAGACGTCATCTCACCAAAACACTCAATTATGCCAGTGCTTTGTTGTCTAAAGCTACTTACTAGATAATCAAAATGTGCTTTCGGTAAGGGTAGAATGGTATGTCTTTGGCGGCAACCGTAAATTTTTAATAATGATCAACTTCGTATCAGCATGTACAACATATAATGACCCAACAACCCAACGTAGGTATCAGAATATACGCTGTTAATTCTCAACATTTTTGAACTTGCATAGGAACCGTAACTGATGAGACCAAGTACGCCTTCGTAGACGCGAGACCAACGCGTCCTACGCGATATGCTATGTTGTACTGAAGGGTTAGCAAATAAAAAGCAGTAATGAGAACAGGTATCCTCTTTTCCCACAAAATGAGCCATGGAATGTAGGATTGCATGCAGGGCGGTGCCACACGGTCGAAGCAGCCACACGTACTTCTCTTAGTAGACTGGGTGAGCCAATCCACTTGCATGAACTAGAGGATTCCGAGATTAATGGACTACACCATCCAATTGATGAAGAATAGAAACAGGACAAGTAATGAATCACCCTTTTGGGTATACTGTATCGGAATTCAAGGGGTGCCAACATTGAATTAAGATATTGCCCCCAACTTGCCCCGATGTTACACGGACGCCAACGGAGCTCCTGAAAATGCACCGGAACGAGGCCCATGACGATTTGGGGTGTTAGGTTGCTATCCGTTCATCGAAAGGGGGGTCTTCCAGGACATCCTACACCGTCGCTATTCATCCTACGGGGGCTGGGTGTGCTCTGTGTTGGAACAAGTAAAATGTTCAGCGACGACCGAAGGCCAAGGGCCTGCAGACCGCTCTGCCACGTCCTCCCTACAGTACAGGTGCAGGTAAGCAGCGAGTTACAGCGCCCTCGATGGGGCATTCCTGCAAGAGAGCCACGCGTGACCTCATTCGCGAGAGCGCATTGACGACTCCATCGTCGAGGCCTTATACCGTAGGTGGATACCAAAAGTACATGTGTGTGTGGTGTATGTGTGTGGTGTAATTGCTCTACTTAGGTTGGTCTCGTCTGGACCCCACCATTGAGGCCATTCAGGGTATGGACGAGTTGCTGGCTAATGCAGGCGTCCTCTTTACTGTAGCCCCCAGGCAGTAGAGGCGGCGTGCGAATGGGAATGGTTGCGTTGGCGTCCGTATTCTGCCTGCAACCAAGGAGGAGCCCAGTCGACTGGCTGACTGCGACTTGCCTGGACTTGCCTAGATCTCCCGCACAAGTAACCTGCTACTAGACCGTCTGGATGGAGTCAAAGGGAGTCATAAGCCGGACATGGCGCTGCGTTATATGCTGCGTTGTCCAAGACTGTCTGTCGCACCACCCTCCTAGCAACTTTTGCTTTGCTCCTCTGAAATGCCTATGCAGCCATACAAATCTCAATAGTAGAGCCACAAAGAAACCCTAAGCCATAACAAAATTTTCTTCCTCGCTTTATCTGTCTGAGTGTGTTCGTGGTATTATAGAGTATCAGCTTGCAAGTTTTGTCTTGCTTGCTTATTCAGATTTTTTTTTTCACGGGAGTATTGATACCCAAAGCCCAACTTGGGCACTAAACCCAAGACACAAAGTTGTCTTCTGGCAAGAAAGTATTGGAAACGCCGCAACTTCTAGACTTTTGGTTCTCCGAAAGACAGTTTTCACCTTTGGAAATTAGAATCTTCCTCCTTACCGAACATAGCACCCCGCCAAGTCGCACATCTTGTACTGGTTTCACAGAGCACAGAGCTTGTCTGATCTGTCACTTACACGCTTACACCAAAAAAAACCCACTCACCAATATTCAGTACGGCCTAACATTCGCCACTGGACACGCCTCATGATAGCACTGCGAGCGCACACTTACACTTACAACACCTCCGCACAGATCGACATATCTTCGACAGTAATCGCCCCGGCGATCTCCTAGCGAAGTGTCCCTTGCGACAATTACTGGCATGAGAAGCCGAACCCACGACAGGGAAGACCTTGCTCTCACGCTTC